TTGACGTCTGAAACTCACACGGAGCTCTTGTCCTGCCCTTCTCCCCCTCCCCTGTGTGTTTCAGGACATGGAGGCGTGAATCAACTTGGGGGTGTTTTTGTGAACGGTCGCCCCCTCCCCGACGTCGTTCGCCAAAGGATCGTGGAGCTCGCCCACCAAGGGGTCCGGCCGTGTGACATCTCCCGGCAGCTCCGCGTCAGCCATGGCTGTGTCAGCAAAATACTTGGCAGGTAAAGGGGGAACGGCGAATCCTTCTGTGTCCGTCCAGAGAAAAGTGCCGGTGCCGGTCTCTGAATTGGAGGCTGCAAACAAACGGAGACTGGTGGAAATCAGATCAGTTCAGTGAGGAGAGAACTTCCTGAGCACTCGTGGGTTTATGTATCTGATGCGGGAAGAAAGAGCCACTATCCATATTCTTGTTTGCCCTTTTCCCAGTTTCCTGTAGGTAATTCCAACACACAGCGCAGAACATGTATTTGCTGTATATACGGCATAGGTCCTGCGCCTCTCTGCTCTGAACAGGAAGGGAAATCTGGGAGCAATCTTCAGCAAAATGCGAAGAAAAAAAAAAAAGGTAGAAGTTGTGGAAGTTACTCGTTTTGCTTCCCGAAGACAGCTCTCTTTTAACAATATTGTCATTGTATATTGCACCAACACTGCGGTGTGTGTGTTCACACAGGCTGCTCTGCAATCTGTCCCACTGCCTGTCATTCCGCGTCTGGAAAAGAATGGGAAACATTCTTTTGCTGGATTACGAGAGCACAGAAGACTGCGAGTAGAAAGTAACCATCTTAATTTTAGCTACTTTGGGAGTAGCCCTCTGCTAAGGCAGAAGCTGCTTCAGCCACTGTGGCAACAGGAAATTAAACTCTGAATTCATATTATTTCCTGAATGAATTTTAAAACGTGACATAGAGTCAGGTAAAAAATGCCACCCTTGCCTTTTTTTCCCTTTTCTTTTTTTCCTTTTTTTTTTTTTTTTTTTTTTTTTTTTTTATAATCTTGTGAAGAAATCTAAGCTTGTGTAAATTATAGTGTTAAAAACGTTTTGAACCTCAGGTATTCTGACATACTTGGGCAATTCACATTTAGAAATTTTTTGTTTGTTTATTAGAATATGTTTTCCTTGCTCATCTGGAAAAATTCTTGATCTGTCACTGAACTGTGACAGTAATTGTTTAGAATTTTATTATTTTTATTTTAACTGTATTTTTCTTTCCCAATTTTTAACCAACTTGCTTTCCTGGACATGGCATAGCCACAAAGACAGGGCATTTTTTTTGTGGATTCACACGGGGGATCTGTTGGATTAGCAGTATTTCGGATTGCTCAGTGGCCATTTAAGCG